TGGTAACATCATGGTAACATCATGGTATCATCATGGAAACAGCATGGTATCATGGTAACATCATGGTACCATCACGGTATCATCATGGTAACATCATGGTGTCATCATGGTAACATGGTATCATCATGGTAACATCATGGTATCATCATGGTAACATGATATCATCATGGTAACATGGTATCATCATGGTAACATCATGGTAACATCATGGTATCATCATGGTAACATGGTATCATCATGGTAACATGGTATCATCATGGTAACATGGTATCATCATGGTAACAACATGGTATCATCATGGTAACATGGTATCATCATGGTAACTAAAGGTTTTTATTATTATTATTCAAGATTTTAATGTACTATTACATTAAGATTATCCAATTGGTTAAAAAGTTGTACTGTTAACAAGTAAAGCAAAATTCCTTTGTTTCCTCTCTCTCTGACTGAGGACTGGAGGCTGCATTCCATCAGAGATTAGAAGCTCCAGCAGCAGCAGCAGGCATCTTGCTGCTGAAAGAACTTACAGATTATTATTAATGATTTTTCTTTATTCATTTATTCTCATTTTATGTACAATTTATTCAAGTCATGTTGTGTACAGTTTTAATCAACTTTGCTCTCCTTTTGCATGTTCGTACAGCAGCCAGCCTGGGAGCAGGTGCTGGGAATATTTGACTCATTTCCTATTTCTCACCCTGGCCCACCACAATACGTGGAGAAAACCGCTGACAGCTGCAAGTTCTTGATAGCAGATGTCCCAACTGCAGAATATTCCCAGACTGTCTGTTTTTGTATTGTCTGAATAAACCAGCTGTATTTTGTATAACTATAGCTGTTTTCCTGCCGCCACCTAGCACCCGGCTGGCTGGTTCTTTTTCCACTCTTTTCCTGAAACTTAATAAATATGATCACGCCGCCTCAAACGGGCAGAGCTTTGCTGTTTTCAACTGCTGTTAAGTTGGGCACATTGAACCTCTCCCTTTGCGCAAAGCGTATCTTTTGAATTTTCACTATTTGTCTATTTGTCTGATTTTGTTGGTCCACTTGGGTTGTTTGACCATTCATTTGACTATTTACAGAAGAAAAAATCCAACATTTTCCCACTCATCCTTCCTTCAATTATTTHAAGTTTGCCAGTACCATATGCTGAAAAACAGCCCCACACCATGATGTACCCACCTCCAAACTTCACTGTTGGTATGGTGTTTTTGGGCTGATGAGCAGTGCCATTTGACCTCCAAACATGWTGTGTATTCTGGCATCCAAACAGTCCAGTTTTGGTCTCATCTGACCAGACTATATTATCCCAGTATTTCACAAGCTTGTTTAAATGTTGTGCAGCAAACTTTAAAGGAGCTTCAACATGCTGTTTCTAGCAGTGGAGTCTTGTGTGGTGAGCGTGCATACAGGCCATGGTGGTTCAGTGCATTACTTATTGTTTACTTTGAAACAAACGTACCTGCTAATTCCAGGTGTCTTTCTGAAGCTCTCCACAAGTGCTCCTTGGCTCTTAGACAACTCTTCTGATAATTCTTTTCAATCTGTCAGAAATCTTGCGAGGAGCACCTGGTCATGGTCGGTTTATGGTGAAATGATGTTCTTTCCACTTCCGAATTATGGCCCCAACAGTGCTCACTGGAACATTCAGAAGTTTAGAAATTCTTCTGTAACTAATGCCATCATTATGCTTTGCAACAATAAGGTTGTGATGGTCGTGAGAGAGCTCTTTACTTTTATCCATCATCAGATGTTTCTTGTGTGATACCTGGCCGTCATTCAGGACTGAACCAGCTGAAATTAACTTGCACTGACAAGGGGCAGGCTTGTTTTCTAATTACTGAGAGAGTTCAGCTGTCGCGGCGGCAACCCTCGAACCCGTTGGTGGACACCTTCGGTGAGGGATGCTGTCAAGCTGAAGGAGGAGTCCTATCGGGCCTTTTGGCCTACGGGACTCCAGAAGCTGCTGATGGGTACCGGCGAGCGAAGCAGCACGTGGCTCGGGTGGTCGCTGAGGCAAAAACCCGGGRGTGGGAGGAGTTTGGAGAGGCCATGGAGAAAGACTTCCGCATGGCTTCGAGGCGATTCTGGTCCACCATCTGGCGTCTCAGGAGGGGGAAGCAGTGCAGCACCAACACTGTTTATAGTGGGTATGGTGTGCTGCTGACCTCAACTTGTGACATTGTGGGCCGGTGGGCGGGATACTTCGAAGACCTCCTCAATCCCACCAACATGCCTTCTGTTGAGGAAGCTGAGCCTGGGGACTTTGGGTTGGGCTCTCCAATTTCTGGGGACAAGGTCGCTGAGGTGGTCAAAAAGCTCCTCGGTGGCAGGGCCCCGGGGGTGGATGAGATCCGCCCGGAGTTCCTTAAGGACCTGGATGTTGTAGGGTTGTGTTGGCTTACGCGACTCTGCAATATCGCATGGACATCGGGGGCAGTCCCCCTGGATTGGCAGACTGGGGTGGTGGTCCCCCTGTTTAAAAAGGGAGACCGGAGGGTGTGCTCCAATTACAGGGAGGTCACACTCTTAAGCCTCCCTGGTAAGGTCTATTCYGGGGTCCTGGAGAGGAGGGTTCGTCGGATAGTCGAACCTCGGATTCAGGAAGAGCAGTGTGGTTTTCGTCCTGGT